TTTATCTTGTCCGAACCCGCTTCCCTTGTCTCGCTACTCCTGATTTTGGAAATACCAACTTGGGTCTCCCTGGAGGAGCAGCCTCCTGTCCTCAGAACGTCACCTTTTCTTGGCTTTGTTGCTGTCGGTTTAGCCCTGTCCTCATCTCTATAGCTTTACAGAGGCCTGCTACGTTATGCTCCCACTAGCTGACTCGTATGGATTCTGACGGCCTTTCAACTCAGGTTTAACATTATTATTTGTTTCCATTTGGCGCCCCGTGTCTGGCTTTAGCAGGCAGGGACGAGCGCCCTCCAGAGGAGGGCGTGCAGCCCCCGCCCGTAGGGAGAAGGAAGGCCAACTGCCAGAGGGCAACGAGCCTCCCTATGGTCCGAGCCCGGCCTTTAGTCTGTGGCGCGGAGGACCAATCGGTGAAGGACAAGTCCTCCACAGTGACAGACTGTCTGACAGCTCCTCCTCGCTGCACCGTTAACCGCCGAAAGAGGAACATCCGGGCATCGCTGACAGGAGGCGAGGCAGGGGACAGCGGGAGCGTTTACTACTCTAAAGGCCGCTCCACCCTCCTACCTCCCCCCTCAAAGAGGCGCGCGCAATGTTGTTTCCGGCGTCCCGCGCCGTATCTTAGATACGGGGGAAGGGTTGGACTACTTCTCGTGACGCAAGGTGGGGGGAGGGTTGAACTGTTCCGCAGTATGATGTATTCAAAATCCTTGGAAAGTCCGTAGTCGACAGGGAAGACACTTAATGGTGGGCCAAATCCGTTGCCACAGACCGACCGCATCCCTTCAGTGCTATCCCGGCAGCGTTGCCAATGTCCCCGAATACACAAGCACCCCTAGTCCCTGCACAAATATGGATCAGCCTGGAGGGGGCGGGGCTCAGCGTTTCGGTTTACGCTTGATGCCGTTATTCTCCCGGCTGTGACTGTTTTCTGGGGCTTTTTCTCTTTGCAGAAGACCCGGGATTCCTTTGTTGGAATGGTGCGGGCGGGGACAGGAAACCAACCAGATTCGCCGGCCGCTTGCTGTGAATAAAAATACTTGTATTCCTCCCCCTCTTTGCGGAATCTGAAAGTGACCAGCAAGCTTTTGCGGGGTGTGTGTGTGTGGGGCTGCGTGAAGGTACGTATGAATGACTTGCCCGTTCACACAGACGTAACTTGCCAGTGGGCTTTCCTGCCTTCGCCTTCAGAGGAACTTGTTGCGCTCAAAGGTGGCGGGAGGGATGTGAGTGGAGCCAGGGTTTATTTCCCTTTGCCCACGAGAAACGTTCTCTTCTAAAATAAGGGTAAAGTTGCCTTCAGTTTCCTTCCTTCTCTGATAGAGGTTCTCCAGGTACTGTTATCACTAATATCTACCATTTTCAATGAGAGGTGTATCTTTTAAATTTCAGCCTATGCGTATTAAAGACACGAGCTTTTCTGTGTAGGGGGGGGAGTGCACTCTGGGAAATGGCCCCTTTCTCCGTTAGAGATTCCAGGCTTGGCTGTTAAATTTCCAAACATGTTTTGAATGAGCCAAGGCATTAGAGTTTCTGATAAAAGCACTCAAGGTGGTGCATGTGAAGCAATAATATGCTTAGGGTTTCTAGAGTTTTCACTGCTTTGTATAACGTTATCCCAGTGATCTCATTTGAACCTATAAGGTAGGTCAGCCTGAGCATTTCTATATCTCTGATGGAGTGCTGAGAAAATAGTTACACATACAAGGAGTTCAGTGGCAGAGGTGCTGCATTACATCCCTAAACTGTAAAAGATGAACTAAATGCAATGTGCATCAGAAACTCAAGTTATGGGAAGTTAGGTAATCATTTTTGCTCATTACTGCTCTACTGTGAGGCTGAGGGACTAACCTTGCAGTCATGATTTCCTTGTGCCCTACCCAGGACCTACGAGTGAGATCTGTGTCGTGAGTTCTGTGTTTGAAACTCAGTTCCCGGACAGTCAGGCCTTATTTGTGCTGGGACTGGTGTTCAGGGAAAAGGGGCTGCCCCCAAGCCATTTTCTTAGTCTAAAACAGCTGTGGGAGCATGGTTTAGCCCTTTGAGGAAATTTAAGGGCGTTTACAACCCATCAGTGCATGTGTTTTCCCTAAAGTCGCAAACAGTGTTATTCTCTCTCGGGCTGTTTCAGATCAGGAAAGTGGTACAGGGCTCCCCTCCCTGTGCACTGTAGTCCTACTATGATTTAGCCCCATATGCATGGGATTTATTCCAAGCACACATTTTGTAGTGTGTGGTTCATCATCAGGAGCCAAGGAAAATGCAGAGCATGCTTAGGCCCTTAAGGGCTGTAATAGAGGGAATATGAAGGAGGTAAAACAGACTGTGTTCAGCTATACTTTGGGACTCTGCATGAGCTTCCTGACTGCAAACTTCCAGGTTCTGATTTGCTGTTTTTGTTCATTGCAAAAACAGCAGTTAAAATGATATTAGATTTCTATAAATACTTGTTAATGTTTTGCTGCCATGCATAAACGCTTATTGTTTATAGTTTTGTAGAACAACGGAACTACATCTCATTGTTATTGGTATTTATCCATTTGTATACAATAAATATTTACATACAAGTGCTCAGGATTTCTTTGTCAATCTTAATAACCAGATACATACAGTAGTGACGCTCCCCTTACTTTGGGCTGTGATTGCATTAATGTCAGTCTTGCAGGACATGTAAAAATTGTATGAAATGATGTGCTATGAGTTAAGGTAGTGGTTCTTAACACATTAAATGAAGATTGTTTTCTTTGTTTTAAAGGTGATGCTCTGTCACAAAATCAGTAGCTTTGATTTGATGTGTCCAATGTAACTTTCATTATGGAAAACTTTATTTTGTATGAAGAGATTGGAAGAGGAAGCAAAACAGTCGTTTATAAAGGCAGAAGAAAAGGAACGATTAATTTTGTGGCTATTTTGTGCACTGATAAATGCAAAAGAGCTGAAATAACAAACTGGGTAAGAATTATTGTATTTATTTATTTCATTTCATTTATACCTCGCCCTTCCCGCACGCAGGCTCAGGGTGGCTTACAAGGCACAAAGTGCAATAGAGATAAAACAGATTAAAACAGTTGAAGTTAAAATTCACAACTGATACATGAAAGACTATAATTACACACTCCCCATTGCATATCAGGAGGAGGTCAGGAAGGGGGACGCCATGGGCCACAATGTTCCAGTTGCTCCATTGGCCCAACCCGGCGGTACTGCTCTGCAGTTACACAGTGGTGGTAGTGGCGGCGGCTCCTACTCAAAAGCCTGGGGGAAGAGCTCCGTCTTGCAGGCCCTGCGGAAAAGTATAAGGTCCCGTAGGGCCCTGATATCTTCCGGGAGCTCATTCCACCAGGTAGAAGCCGCCACTGAAAAGGACCTGGCCCTCGTGGTAGCTAGCCTGTTCTCTTTAGGGCCCAGGGTCACTAGGCGGTGTTGTGACCCCGACCAAAGTGCTCTTTGGGGCCTATATGGGCCTATTGTATTAAGATTGATGTAAACTGTCCTGAGCCTGCCTGCGGGGAGGGCAGAATATAAATTTAATAATAAATAAATTAATTATATTGGATATCTGTGAAAGATATGTGAATGTAAATTATCTAACAACCCATTTTGAAAGACAAACATGCCAATTCATTGAATTGTGTTCTTCATAGAGTAAAGTGCTTAGGTGTAGTGCCAGGTGTAGCGCCAGTTTGGTGTAGTGGTTAAGTGCGCCGGACTCTAATCTGGGAGAACCGGGTTTGATTCCCCATTCCTCCACATGCAGCTGCTGGTGTGACCTTGGGTCAGTCAAAAGTTCTCTCAGAGCTGCTCTCTCAAGGGCAGTTCTGGAAAGAGCTCTCTCAGCTCCACCTACCTCACAGG